AAATACATTTCAAGTCACCTTCAGTTCTTCTTAGGAGCTATTATTATGCTCATAAAGGATTTGCAAGCCCATCTATTGTAATTTTGCCCTTGATACTTTAAAGACCAGGCAAAAGTATGTGGGATGGATCATAATAGAGAGGAACGTATTAAATGCATAAAATATTTTATTCCTAGAAAAGTAGGATGTGGATTGTATGCAGAGCCTGCAAGTTTTATCTAATACATATCTATCATAAATGTACACATGTATTTACATGTAAAATATCTTTTCATTGGTCTATACGTACATTAGTATTACACTCGCCAAAAGAGAGCTTGTGTGTGTGGTATTTGGAAAGCTAATTAACCTAGTCTCTGTAAGATTTATCTAGGTTTATTTGTATGCTTCTTATGTTTTGAAAAGTACTAGTGTCCTAATTTTGGAGAAGCCCCTTCTATCAGAGACTACAATTCAATTTTCATGATTCTAGAACCTAAAGTTTCTTTATTAGGGGTTATTGATGATTAAGAGTATTAGTCTAACCCAGAACTGCTCGATAGAGAAATATTCAAAGTCTATATGCTCATAAAGGATTTGCAAACCCATCTGAAATTTTAAACTTTCTAGTACTCACATTAATGCAAGTAAAAAGAAATAAATGAAATTAATTTAATGATGTATTTTATTTAACAAAATACATTCAAAATGGTATTATTTTAACATGTAATACATATTTTTAAAAATTAAAATATTTTGCATATTTCCACACTAAATCTTGAAATCCGGTATTTATTGACATGCACAGTTACCTTGCTTTGGATCATACACATTTCAAGGTCTCCATATCCCTATGTGACTAGTCACTGCTGTATTGGATGAGGCATGTCTACCTCATCTCTTATCATTTGGAAGGAAGTAGGCGTAGCAGAAATAAAGACACACTGCTTTGTTCTTCTTTGTCCAAGAGGAATCAAAATTTTTAATTTAAATTATTTTTGTTAAGTAATACACATACTTACAAGTTGTGAAAAAGACAAACAGTGAAAAACAATTTCCCTCCCACTGCTGTTCTCCAGCTGTCCCACTCCTTTTCCTGGAGGCAAAGGCAAAGGACGATGACCAGTTTATTATATCTTCTCTCTGAGATGATTTGTTACTTATTTTCTATAAATATATATAGGTTGTAGCATTCTTACACACACTGTTCTACAGCTTACTTTATTTCACTTAATTATTTGGAGATACTTCCATCTGAAAATATAGGAGATGCCTCATGTATTTTAGTAGGTATGTGGTATTACATTACGTGGCTGTCCCGTAATTTATTTAACCCAACACTTACTGATAAATATTTAGGTTGTTTCTAACCTTTTGCTATTACAAAAGTTTGTGCATGCATCATTGTTAACACACACACATATATGAATATGTCAGATAAATTCTTAAAAGTGAAGCACCAAGGAAATTCTTTTCTGAAATTTTGTAGATATTGCCAAATTGTCCTGCGTGGCATTCATGTCACTTGACTCCCAACCACCATGCAAGAGAGTGTCTGTTTTCTCACATACTTGCCGACATAGTATAGTGTAGTATTAAACTTTTTGATCTTTTCCAATTTGAGAAGAGGAAAACTGTATCTTGTTGCAGTTTTAATTTGCATTTCTTTTTAGGAGTGACAGTGGACATCTTTTTAAATATTTAAAAGCCATTCACATTTCATTTTCTGTGAACTGTTCATGTGCTTTGACCATTTCCTATTAGGTAGTTGTTTTCTTTGTCAATTTTTAGGAGTCCTATGTATTAAGAGAAGTTTGGACTAGGTGTGGTAGCTCACGCCTGTAATCCTAGCACTTTGGGAGGCTGAAGAGGTAGGAGGATCACTTGAGCTCAGGAGTTCAAGACCAGCCTGAGCAAGAGCAAGACCCCGTCTCTACTAAAAATAGAAATTAGCTGGGCTTTGTGGTACACGCCTGTAGTCCCAGCTACTCGGGAGACTGAGGCAAACTCCTCGCTTGAGCCAGGAGTTTGAGGTTGCTGTGAGCTAGGCTGACACCACGGCACTCTACTCAGGGCAAAAGAGTGAGACTCTGTTTCAAAAAACAACAAAAAAGAAAGGTTTTATGTGACTCTGACTTTGCTAACATGGTTACTTTTGCACACAAATTTAATGAATTTTTCCATCTTTTCTTTTATGGCTTCTAGATTTTGCGTCACAAAGAACTTACCTACTCATTAGATTATTTTTTAAAGTTTTCTCGGACTATTTTTAATGTTTTTTAGGGGGGTTTGTTTTCTATATTTAAATATTAAGTTCATCTAGAATTCATCTTGGTGTAAGGTGTAAGGGATAGATCCAACTTATGTCAATTTTTCAGAAGACTACTCATACTCAGTTATTCCAATATCATATATTTATTTGAAATGCCATCATTATCTTATACCACATTTCTATGTGTATTTGGATGTCTTTTTGAACATCCAACTTTATTCCATTGATTTTATTAATACTGTTATCTATTTATATGCAAGCACAAGCTGTTCTAAACGCAGTAGTTTTTATTGCTTTTTAGTATCTTTTAATTTGGCTATTGCCCTACCAGGCCCCATTATGATTCTTTTTCAGAATATTCCTGGCTACTCAATTTGTTACTTTTTCCACGTGAACTTTAGAGTCAGCTTTTTTCATTCCTAAAACATATTCTGCTAGCATTTTTATCAAGAGGACATTAAATGAATAGATTAATTTTCAACTCTCCAAGGACATAATATAGCTTTTTACTTGTTTTCTGTTTGTTTTTGTATATTACTAAGTATTATAAAATTTAATTAAAATGGGTCTTCCACATTTCTTGTTAGTTTTATTCCTAGTATCTTATTATAACTACAGTATTTTATTTGAGTAAAGCTTCTGACTGGTTGTTGCTTTTATATATCAAGGCTTTGACTTTTTCTTCAGATACTATACTGAATTTGTACCAACTGTTACAGTTTTTCAGTTGATTCTCTTGGTTGACCAGTATACAATCTTATTGTCTGCAAATAATTTTAGTGTTGCTTTACAATGTTTATATCTGATTTCTTCCTCTGTTTCATTTGTCTTGTTTAATAAGCAATGGCTATTTTTAAAGAGCTATTTTTAGCCAAAAGGAAAATAGTCTTGATTTTTTTTTTGTAATTACATACTTAAAATAAATACAATAAGGAAAACTGTGGGCAAATAAGGCATGACTATATAATGAATGGGGAAGCAGTCACCTTGTGCAATGGATTAGTTAAATTTTTAGTACCATTTCTTCTAGCTTTCTCTATTATTTGGACTTTGAAATCTCCATTAGTACTGCCCTCAAAAATGTCTGAATGATTAAATGACAAAATGACCATAAGATGAGCAGATCTGTATCAATCTGGTAAACTTACTGGATGCTCACTTTATGCTAGGCATAAAAATTACAAAGTAGGGGCTCTATTCCTAAGGAGTGTATGGTCCGGTGAGAGGATAAACAAAATACGTTAAGAGTGATACGTTCAGTAATTGACTATATATAAGATATAGAAGCAGTATAGAAATGGGAGTGATTAAATCTCTTAGAGAGTCAAAGAAGGAATCCTAAGGGAGGTGATATCTGAGATGGGTTTAGAGGTCTGTCTGCATAAGTCACTGGGCAAGTAGAAGGAGTAAGAAGGCAGCGTAGGCAGCCAGAAAAACAATGGCAGGAAGGTCTGAACTGGCTTACTGTGTTTGGATATTTATAAACGGTTGTTCTCGTTTGAATATAAACTGTGAGAGGGAGTAAGGAGGAGAGAAAGATAATAACCTCTATATGAAATGCCTTTTAAATTAGTCAGGAATTTTCAGGAGAAGTGGGCAGCCAGGCCCCATAGAGGAAAACACAGAATCACCTAGAAAGAGCATTTTATAAACTACACTTTCAGCCCATCCTGTTGCCCTTGGACTTGATGGTACTGGAGGGAGTGTGCCTTGTCTCTCAGGGATGTTTGAGGAACCAGTTTGAGAACTACTGATGCAGGCCACGTGGAGCCAGTGAAGTGTGTTCAGGAGAGCAGGATATCAGATTTGCATTCCAGAACATTCCATTTGACAGCAAATCGAAGGGAATCTTAAAGGGGTTGGGGAAAGGGCAGGCTGAGCGAGGGGATAAACCATTGCACAGAAGCAACTACAGTAGGTCATGAGGCAAGATGACGAAGATCTGGGCCACAAAGTGGCTGCGAGGTGGTTCACGGGATATACAGGAAGTAGAATAGATAGAACTTAGTGAATGATTGGATAAATTAGGTGCTAGAGGAAAAAGAAAGGTGATCTTTCTTATTGTTCTTTGCATTTCGACCAAAAAAAGAATCATTTGGGAAGGGGGCTGCTACTATTAATAGTAACTAAAACAGTATGTACTTAGTACATTGGCTGGTGATTTTGCTCACCCTTGTTCTCCATGACCACAAATATTTGAGAGTAATCATCATTTTCTGAGTAGCTATTGATTGCCCCTTTATTTTATTTTATTTTATTATATTGTATTGTATTGTATTTTTTGAGACAGAGCCCCGCTTCATTGCCCAGGCTAGAGTGAGTGCCGTGGCGTCAGCCTAGCTCACAGCAACCTCAAACTCCTGGGCTCAAGCGATCCTCCTGCCTCTCAGCCTCCCAAGTAGCTGGGGCTACAGGCATGCACCACCATGCCCGGCTAATTTTTTCTATATATTTTTAGTTGGCCAATTAATTTCTTTCTATTTATAGTAGAGACGGGGTCTTGCTCTTGCTCAGGCTGGTTTCGAACTCCTGACCTCAAGCAATCCTCCCGCCTTGGCCTCCCAGAGTGCTAGGATTACAGGCGTGAGCCACCACGCCCGGCCTGGTTGCCCCTTTAAATATGAAAATGAGTCTCACAGTTTGCTGAGCTAGTTATTCCAGCATTATGTATGCCACAGTTATTCCCTAAGATGTGTTATCGGCATTAGATGTATAAATGCATTCTGATATCTGTTTCCATGCTCTTCAGAGTTCATCCGGAGGCAGCCTGTGGATGGCCCCGAGGTGAGCCTGATGGAAGAGGACAGAACCAGCCATGCTGAGGGCAACAGACTAAGTCCATTCCTGATACCATCGCCTTCTCCCGTTTGCCAGACGGAACCGCTGGCTAGAAAGCTCCAGAATGGAAGCCCATTAACCGAGAGACCCCAACCGGAGGTAAATGGAGAAACCAAGTGGCAGTCTTTCAGAAGTTGTTATGGAGTAACCCACATGAAGGGGACCCAGGCCAGCCGCGTGAGTCCTGACTTTATTCAAGAAGGCAGAGGGTATTCCAAGTGTCTGCAGAATGGAGGAATAAAACGCACGGTGAGCGAACCTTCTCTGTCTGGGCTCCATCAGAACAAGAAGTTGAAACAAGAACAAAAGGCTAATGGAGAAAGGCGTAACTTCGGGGAAAGTCAAGAAAGAACTCCTAGCGAAAGCAGCCATCAACCAAATGTCTCCGATTTGAATGAGAAAAGAGAATCTGTGAGCTCTGTGACCCAAGAAAAGACAGTTAAAGATCGCACGGGTTTTTCAACACATAATTGCAGTGGGTCTGAAAATCCAGAGCTTCAGATTCTGAACGAGCAGGAGGGGGAAAATGCTAACTCTTGTGATAAGACCATTGTATTACTTCTTAAAAACAAGTCAGTGCTAATCCCTAATGGTGCTACAGTTTCTGCCTCTTCCATGGAAAACACACACGGTGAACTCCTGGGAAAAACACTGTGTCAGTGCTACCCAGACTGTGTTTCCATTGCGGTGCAGAAAACCACATCTCACATAAATGCCATTAATAGCCAGGCTACTAACGAGTTGTCCTGTGAGATCACTCAGCCGTCGCATACCTCAGGGCGGATCGAGTCCCCACAGACCTTGCGCTCGGAGCTGCCCCCAGAGCCAGCGGCAGCAGTGGCCGAGGCCTGCGGGCCCGACGTTGCCAGTGACCCAGCTGCCGTGCTGGGCGCCTGTCCCTTTCAGGAACCGGAACAACCGCCACAACAAAACGCAGGTTTTGAGATCTGCCCATCTCCTGCAGAAAACGGCAACATCCAAGGAACCGCAAAGCTAGTATCTGGTGAAGAATTCTGTTCAGGTTCCAGCAGCAATTTGCAAGCTACTGGTGGCAGCTCTGAACAGTATTTAAAGCAAAATGAAATGAATGGTGCTTACTTCAAGCGAAGCTCAGTGTTCACTAAAGATTCCCTCTCGGCCACTACCACACCACCACCACCACAACTGCTTCTTTCTCCCGCTCCTCCTCGCCCGCGGGTCCCTCAGCTTCCTTCAGAAGGAAGAAGCACTCTGAATGATGGAGTTTCACAAGAACACCATCGATACCCCAACCAAAGCAACGCGACTCTTTTAAGGGAAGTGAAAATAGAGAGTCAACCCGAGGCACCACCATCCCAGAGTCCTAACCCGTCTACACATGGATTGAACCCTTCTCTGGTGCCTTCAGAAAGGTCTCAGAATAGCTTTGCTAACAAAAATGACCTACGGACTCCAGGGACATTGTGTTCTGAGAAAATAAGACCAGCATCAGAACACCTCAAGCATAACCCCCTGGTCCTTGGCAGCGGCGGCGATCTGCAGACCCCCTGCCGGCAGCTGGCGAGACACACAGAACAGGAGATTCTGAGGGGTCGAGACCAGGAACAAAGGCGAGATCTTGTGCTCCCCACACGGCACTATCTGAAACCGGGATGGATTGAGCTGAGGACCCCGCACTTTCATCAGGCAGAGTCCCAGCCGAAACACCACGAAGTGTCTCTGCCACCCACACTTCAGTGTCAGTCCAGCTCCTCCAATCAAACGACCTCCGAACAATACACTGGAAACGCCAGCATGCCTGGGGCGCTCCCACGGCACGCTTACATCCATAAAACAGTACAGCTGGGGCAGAAGTCACAAATGTACCAAGGTGAGATGAGCCCAGGGCAAGGTACAGTGGACCAACATCTCCAGCTCCAAAAACCCTCGCACCAGACACACTTCTCCAAAACAAACCCTGCACCCGAAGCTCACGTGCAGCCACTGTGTGCTTCGAGATTTCACTTTCAACACAGAACATATTCCCAAGCTGAGAAACTCATATCCCCGTTTTTAAAACAGCACTTGAATCGACAGCAGGCTTCAGAGACCGAGCCATTCTCAGACTCACACCTTTCACAACATAAGCCTCATCAGCAGGCCGCACAAACACGGCTGCCCCAGAATTCCCGTCTCCCTCAAAACCAGCAAGCGCAGCCAAAATTACAAATGAAGAATAAAGAACAAAGGCTCCAGACTTTTCCTCATCCCCAAAGCAACAATGATCAGCAAAGAGAAGGATCCTTCTTTGGCCAGGTTAAAGTGGAAGAATGTTTTCATGGTGAAAATCAGTATTCAAAATCAAGTGAGTTCCAGGCTCATCATGCTCAAATGGGACTAGAGCGAGCACAAAATATGAACAGTCGAAATTCCCCTTATAGTCAAATCTTGAAATCAAGTGAAAATAAAGGGCAGATTCCTTGCTCAAACAGCACACAGCTAGTTCCAGAGAATAGAGAACACACTATACGTTCTCAGCTCTTTGTTGGAAACAAGACCCCAAACGTGCATCACATGCAATATTTCCCAAACAGCGTGACCCCAAAGCCAGATGTTCTTCACAGGTGCTTTCGAGAACAAGAGCAGAAGCCTCAGCAAGCTTCAGTTCTACAGGAATATAAAAGTAGAAACCAAGATGTGTCTAATCAACAAGCTGCACAACTCACTCAGCAAAGGTACTTGACACATAACCCAGCAAATGCTTTCCCTGTGCTTGACCAGGGAGGAAGCCACATTCAGACGTCCCCACAGAAGGACCTTCACAAGCATGCTGCTCTGAGGTGGCACCTTTTACAGAAGCAGGAACTGCAACAGCAGCAAACACAGCAACCCCAGCCTGAGTCTGGCCATCAGCAGGTGCCCAGACCAATTAAGGTTGAACCTGGATCCAAGCCCCATGCCTGTATGCACCCTGTGAGCACACAGCCAGAAAACAAAGTGTGGAAAAAGGTAGCAAAGCAAGAAATTCCACCTCCAAGCTGTGATAATGTGCAGCAGAAGAGCATTATTGAGACCATGGAGCAGCACCTGAAGCAGTTTCAGGTCAAATCTTTATTTGACCATAAGGCTCTTGCTCTCAAATCACAGAAGCAAGTAAAAGTTGAAATGTCAGGGCCAGTCACAGTTCTAACCAGGCAAACCACTGCTGCAGAACTTGACGGCCCCACCCCAGCTTTAGAGCAGCAAGCAACTCCTTCTTCAGAAAAGACCCCAACCAAAAGAGCAGCTGGTTCTGTTCTCAATAATTTTTTAGAGTCACCTTCCAAATTACTAGATACTCCTATAAAAAATTTATTGGATACACCTGTCAAGACTCAATATGATTTCCCATCATGCAGATGTGTAGGTAAGTGCCAGAAATGTACTGAGACACATGGTATGTATCCAGAAGTAGCAAATTCATCTTCAGATATGGGATTTTCTTTCTTTTTTTAAATCTTGAGTCTGGCAGCAATTTACAAAGGCTCATAAAAATCTGAAGCTTACATTTTTTTTTGTCTTTAAATTACAGATGCTTGTCCCGTGCAAGAGAAAACTTCATTTACATGCAATTTTTCCAAAAAGTTTAAACAATTGTGCATGTTTATTTTTACCTCTATTCAGACCCTTTAAAATTTGAATGTATCTGTTTTAGTTTAATCTATCTCCTTAACTCTTTGTATATTATCTCCTGGAGAGACAGCCAGGCAGTTAAAAAAAAAAAAAAATCTATTAAAATGAGAAAATAGCTGCCATGTGCAATCTAATGTAGGAACTTTTAATTTTTTTTAAAATCAAGGTTGAATGTGTTAGTAGTTTTACACTATTTCTGGAAAATGGCAAAATTATTGTCTTCAGTCTTGGTGAGTTGGGGAAGTGACGCTGCTGAAGGTCTTAGTATTCATGAAGTTGCCTTTTCTCCCTTTGTACACTTGAAACATTGTGATTTATGTATACTTTGATTCCATTTTCTTTAAAATTTCACTTTTTTCATTTAAAAAATATGATACAGGCATACCTTAGAGATATTGTGGCTTTGCCTTACCATAGTAAGGCACACATTGAAATAAAGTGAGTTAAGTGAATTTTTTGTTTTCCCAGTGTATATAAATGTTTACACTGTACTGTAATCCATTAAGTGTGCTAGAGCGTTGTATCTGAAGAAACAATGTATATATCTTAGTTAAAAATACTTTATTACTAAAAAATGCTAATGAGCACCTTAGCCTTTAGTGAGTCATAATCTTTTTGGTGGTGGAGAAGATTGCCTGGATGCTGACAGGTGCTGACAGCAGGGTGGTGGTTGCTGAAGGTTGGGGTGACCGTGGCGATTTGTTAAAGACAGACAACAGTGAGGTGTGCTGCACCCGTTTGCTCTTCCTTTCACGAACGATTTCTTTGCAGCATGTGATGTTGTTTGATGGCATTTTACTCAAAGTAAATCATCTTTTGAAATTGGAGCCCATCCTCTCAAATCCTGTTGCTGCTTTCTTAAGTTTTTGCAACATTCTGAATTCTTTGCTGTCATTTCAACAGTGTTCACAACACGCTCACCAGGAGTAGATTCCATCTCAAGAAACCACTTTCTTTGGTCATCTGTAAGAAGCAACTCCTCATCCGTTTTTACTGTGAGACGGCGACAATTCAGTCGCATCTTCAGGTCCTGCTTCTAAATCTGGTTCTCTTGCTATTCCCCGCACATCTGTAGTGACTTCTGCTAGTAAAGTGTCTAACTTCTCACAGTTATTCATAAGGATTAGAATCAATTCCTGTCAATTGATATCAACATATGTATGACCTCCTCCCATGAGTCATAAATGTTCTTAATAGCATCTAAAATAGTGAATCCTTTCCAGAAGGTTTACAATTTACTTTGCCTAGGTCCATCAGAGGAGTCCATATCTATTGCATCCATACTCTTAAAAAATAAATTTCTTACATAATAAGACTTGAAAATCAAAATTACTTCCTGATCCCTGGGTTTTAGAATGGATGTCATATTAGCAGGCATGAAAACATTAATCTCCTTACATATCTCCATCAGAGCTCTTGGGTGACTAGGTGCATTGTCATTTGAGTAGTAATATATTGAAAGAAATATTTTCTCAGCAGTAGTTCTTAACAGTGGGCTTAAAACATTCAATAAACCATGGTATGAACAGGTATCAAGCTTTTTTGTTCTATTTGTACAGCACAGGTAGAATAGATTTGGCATAATTCTTAAAGGCCCTGGGATTTGTAGAATGGCAAATGAGTATTCAACTTAAAGTGATCAGCTGTATTACTCCTTAACAAAAGAGTCAGCCTTCCGGCCGGGCGCGGTGGCTCACGCCTGTAATCCTAGCACTCTGGGAGGCCGAGGCGGGCGGATTGCTCGAGGTCAGGAGTTCAAAACCAGCCTGAGCAAGAGCGAGACCCCGTCTCTACTATAAATAGAAAGAAATTAATTGGCCAACTAATATATATACAAAAAATTAGCCGGGCATGGTGGCGCATGCCTGTAGTCCCAGCTACTCGTGAGGCTGAGGCAGGAGGATTGCTTGAGTCAGGAGTTTGAGGTTGCTGTGAGCTAGGCTGACGCCATGGCACTCACTCTAGCCTGGGCAACAAAGTGAGACTCTGTCTCAAAAAAAAAAAAGAGTCAGCCTTCCTTTGAAGCTTGAAGCCAAGTGTTGACTTCTCTTCTATAGACATTAAAGTCCTAGCTGGCATCATCTTCCAGTGTAAGGCTGTGTCAGCCACATTGATAGTTTGTTGTTTGGTGTAGCCACCTTTATCAGTGATATTAGCTAGGTCTTCTGGGTAACTTGTGTTGCTTCTACATTAGCACTTCCCACTTCACCTTGCATTTTTATGTTATGGAGATGGCTTCTTTACTTAAACCTCACCCACCAGCCTTTGCTAGCTCCCAACTTTTCTTCTGCAGCTTCCTCACCTCTCTCAGCCTTCACAGAATAGAAGAGTCAGGGCCTTGCTCTGGATTAGGCTTTGGTTTAAGAAAACCAGTGGCTGGTGTGATCTTCTATTCAGACCGCTAAACTTTCTCTGTGTCAGCAATAGGCTGTTTCAGTTTCTTACCATGCGTGTGTTCACTGGAGTAGCACCTTTAATTTCCTTCAAGAACTTTTCCTTTGCTTCTACAGTCTGGCTACTTGCCTGGCATAAGAGGTCTAGCGTTCGGCTTATCTTGGCTTTAGACATGTCTCCTGCTGAGCTAAGTCATTTCCAAGTGAGAGACGTGTGGCTTTCGCTGGAACACTTAGGAGGCCATTGTAGGGTTATTAATTGGCCTAATTTCGATATTATTGTGTCTTAGGGATCAAGGGAGCCTCAAGGAGAGGAGGAAGTGGGGGAATCAATGGTTGTGGAGCAGGCAGGACACACACAATATTTATCAATTAAGTTTTCTGTCTTATATGGGCACTGTTTGTGTCTCCTTGAGATAATTACAATAGTAATGCTGCTACAGATCACTGATCATAGATCACCATGACAGGTACAATAATAACGAAAAAGTTTGAAATATAGTGAGAATTACCAACATGTGACACAGAGACTCGAAGTGAGCACACGCTTTGGGAGAGTGGTGCTGATAGTCTTGTCGACACAGGGCTGCCACAAACCTTCAATTAGTAAAAAATGTCGTAACTGTTCAGTGTGATAAAATGAGGTATGCCTGTATTCTATATCTTTTTTTAAACAAACAGCTTTTTGTTAAACTTTAGGATACTTGATTGGTCTGTAGGAATAGGGAAGCATTTTTGCTGATGGATGTAGATATATATTTATTAATAGGTAGAAAGATCTTACAGCTACTCAGCATGGATACAGTGGAAGACATCTGAAAAAACAAATGTTAAGTTAGTGTGACTAATGACCACTCACCCCATGTTGTCCCCCTTGCAATGAGACGCCCCACACTTTGTAGGAGGATGGAGGGTGGACTCCTCTGTGTGTGGTTGTTATGTTGTCTCTCTGGGCTAAAGTGCCACACACGTCTTAGATAACTTTTGGTAAGTTATGATCAACTTCCATACTTCTCTTATCCTACTCCTAACTTTCCACTTTTCCATCTTCAGCCCTTTGTGATAGCCCCTTCTTTTGACCTGACTCTCCAGCGTTTTTTCTCACTTTAAGTTGTTCCACAGTGCATACAAATACAGGTCTGGATTGAATATTCTTATTTTCCAAACAAAGTGATTAAATGTTGTGGGAAACAAAAATAGAAAAAGGGGTCCTCAACAAATCGTGCAATATTCTGGGGTGGGGTAAACAGGAAATTTTATTTTAATCTTTTAACATCCAAGTGGCAGGCAGGCTTCTTTAAAAATTTTTTTCAGTTAAAAAAAATTGGGTTATAGTTGGTATGACATATAATACATTCTAATTCCTTCACTGTTTTCTTTGTTTTGTTGCACTTATTTGGTTTCTAATAATTTTTATCCCATATCTGAAATGTAATTATTTTTATCAACAGCTAGCATGTACATATACTTAATTATATCGCACATTTTCTAATAGATCAGTCCATCAGTTTACTCATTTTAAAGAAAAAAATTTTTAAAGTCACTTGTAGGGCCCTTAATGTGCAGTTGGGGGATAAGCTTTGTGGATGTAGCCTTTCTATTTAGTATAATTGAGGTCTAAAATAATAATCTTCTATTATCTCAACAGAGCAAATTATTGAAAAAGATGAAGGTCCTTTTTATACCCATCTAGGAGCAGGTCCTAATGTGGCAGCTATTAGAGAAATCATGGAAGAAAGGTAATTAACGCAAAGGCACAGGGCAGATTAACGTTTATCCTTTTGTATATGTCAGAATTTTCCCAGCCTTCACACACAAAGCAGTAAACAATTGTAAATCGAGTAATTATTAGCAGGCTTAGCTATTCTAGGGTTGCCAACACGACACACTGTGCTATTCACCAGAGAGTCACAATATTTGACAGGGCTAATCGTCTGCTAGCTGGCACTGGCTCCCCACTCTGAGATGGCTGCCAGGAAACCAAGGCAGGAGCGAGAGTCAGCCAGCGTCTCCCGGCATGGGGCGCTGGCGTGGGCTGCAGAGAGGGTCCCTCGCTGGCTTTGCCACTTGATGGTAAAGCGTCAAAGAGGAAAGTGCGGTAAAGCGTGGTTTATGAAAGGAACCGCTGCATTAAACTCGCCTCGTGCTGCAAGTGAGTAGTTACCTCCGAAGGAAAGTTTCTCTTGCTATGAACGAGAGCAAGTGTGATGACATTGGCTAGAAAGACAGATTCTGTTTACAGCTGCCTTTTTTTATTTATTTATTTTTTTTACTATCAATCACAGGTATGCAAGTCCTTGCCTGTATCTACACAGTCACTCCCGCATGTAGAAGACTCTTAGGAGCGAGATAATCAATGCAGAGAGGGCCTTTCATATAGATATCTGCAGCCCTGCGCTGTTATTCTACTAGGGTGCCTTTTCATTAAGAGGTAGGCAGTGCCGTTATTAAAATACATCAGGACACGTTTGGGCAGCAAGGACACATCCAGTATCATTCTTGCTCCATTTCTAAATTATTTCTTTCTAAATGAGCATATAGAAATTCACTAAATAATCCTCTAGTGGCCTGGCAGAAACAGTGAATTTTCCTAAGTGCCTTTTTTTTTTTAAGTAGTGCTTTGGGCATAAGGGAAAATATAGTCTATTTCTAGAACTATGTTTTCACCATGGCTGGATACTAAGTATTTGCCAGCTCCCTTTTTATAAATGTGAGAGATTCTTTGAAGAATAACCCTAACTAAAATCTATTATGACTCCCTAAGTTTTAAAATATCTAAATTTAGTAAAGGACTAAAAGCAAACACTGTTTTAGAAAACTGAATTTAGCAAACTAACTTAAATTTTGTGCTTTGTGAATTACCTATAAAAATAAACTTTCCCATTATTTTCACCCAACGCATTATTTAAAAATAGTTCATTATAATTACATTTTGATACTGAAGAAAAACAAGGCTTAAAAACTATTATCCAGTTTGCTTGGTGTAGACCTGTTTTTAAAAAAATAAACCATTCATTTCTCAGGAAGTGATCATAGAATAAAATTATGCTCAAATGTTCAAATATTTTAATTTCCTCTTGAATTCATTTGCTAATAATTGTGTGTGTGTGTGTGTTTCTGTGGGTTTTTTTAAGGTTTGGACAGAAGGGTAAAGCAATTAGGATTGAGAGAGTCGTCTATACTGGTAAAGAAGGCAAGAGTTCTCAGGGATGTCCCATTGCTAAATGGGTAAGTGTGATTTGACAAGGCTTTGGCCTTCGATCTTGAGCCTTTTTATGTATATGTCTAACCCTGAGAATTGAGTTATCCAGATCCAGGAGTCATGCCAGTTGAGAAAAATATCGCCTACATTTTTTTATCATGTGTTATTTCTTAAGAAGGCAGATGAGCTTTAAAATCATGAACACACTGCAATTAACTGAAAGAATTTAGTGGTGAGGAGGGCTCCCATTCCCAGTGTGTGCTAAAAGTATAATTCTCCTTGGAATGTGAGGAAGCGGTTCTTAACTGTCAGTCGATCTTTATGTGGTCATTCGTGAAAACCTTTACCTGTGCGCCTTCCGTCTGGCCGCAGCCTCCGCGCAGGCAGCGCGTGCCCGCCGGTTGTCCGGCCCAGCCCGCCGGACGCAGGGCCCGGCTCCGCCTGCTTTGGGGCGCAGACGGCGGCGCTGCCCCCCGCGAGCCGGGCCGGAGCCGCTCTGGGGCGCAGACGGCGGCGCTGCCTCCCCCGGTCCGGGCCGGAGCCGCTCTGGGGCGCAGACGGCGGCGCTGCCTCCCCCGGGCCGGGCCGGAGCCGCTCTGGGGCGCAGACGGCAGCGCTGCCTCCCCCGGTCCGGGCCGGAGCCGCTCTGGGGCGCAGACGGTGTTGCTGCCTCCCGCGGGCCGGGCGAGCCGCTCTGGGGCGCAGACGGCGGCGCTGCCTCCCGCGAGCCGGGCCGGAGCCGCTCTGGGCGCAGACGGCGGCGCTGCCTCCCGCGAGCCGGGCCGGAGCCGCTCTGGGCGCAGACGCGGCGCTGCCTCCCGCGAGCCGGGCCGGAGCCGCTCTGGGGCGCAGACGGCGGCGCTGCCTCCCGCGGCCGGGCCGGAGCCGCTCTGGGGCGCAGACGGCGGCGCTGCCCCCGCGGGCCGGCGAGCCGCTCTGGGGCGCAGACGGCCAGCGCTGCCTCCCGCGAGCGGGCCGAGCCGCTCTGGGGCGCAGACGGCAGCGCTGCCTCCCGCGGGCCGGGCCGGAGGGCGCGCGGGCGTCGGGGGCTCCCCCGCGCGAGTGACCTTGTTCTGTTTGGCCGGCGGGCGGGCCCACGGCTGTCCGCACAGGTGGTGCGCAGGAGCTGCGGCGACGAGAAGCTGCTGTGCCTGGTGCGGGAGCGAGCCGGCCACACCTGCGCGGCCGCCGTCATCGTGGTGCTCATCCTGGTGTGGGAAGGCATCCCGCGCGCTCTGGCCGACACCCTGTACGCGGAGCTCACCGAGACGCTGCGGAGGTGCGGCGCGCTCACCACCCGCCGGTGCGCCCTGAACGAAGAGTAAGTGAGGGCCGGCCCTGCCCTGGCGCCCCGGGGGAGGGAGGCTGCTCTGGCCGGAGCGCAGGAGCCCAGCCGCGGTTTGCTGTCGTAAAATGGGGCTCAAGTGCCTGTTGCACGGTGACGTGGTAAGAGGTTGTGTCTGCTGACATGAATCGTTTGGGTTGTTTCATTAGTTAATATTTTGTGTGCTCAGAATTCAGCCATTAATTGGGAGTTTACTAGAAGTCTGAGTGTCTGTACACACAGGGCTTCGATTGCACCATAGACTTGAGATGGTTTGTGAGCTTCTGCTGCAAGTGACAGCCGCGCGCTGCCACCGTGTTATTGGTGCCACTTCTGGGTTGCAGTGTCTGAGGCAGAAAGTAAGTTTGGTGAGAAACTTTGGGATTCTTTTGTGAAGAACCTTAATATATATATAGCAAACATAAAAATAAAGGGCCTATAAAAGTCCTGTAGAAATAGAACTGAGTTTTACTTCTATGCCATTATTTCCACAATGGTGATCAAAATTGCTTCCACTTTTGCTGGGCTACATGATCAAGAAATTACTTACTACGGTTATACATCATTTTCCAGGAATAAAAAGCTTGGACTAGGACAGCAAGGGCATGCAGTTAGATATAGTTAGTGCATCTGGATTGCTAATATTTTTTGTTTTTTAAACTTCATCCACTTTGTAAGAAATCTGAACTTTCACCTGGAGGAAGCTTCGTTTTTAATACTCCTCTGCTATACTCTTCCTGTATAACATTAAAATATAGGGAAATTCACAGAGCTACCCTGAAATCGTACAGTCGTTCTTTTGATCATAATTGGTTCTAAAATTACTTTAATTTTACGCTTCTTTCTTTAGTCTGTTTTCCTCTGTATCCACCAACTGCAAAATAGTTTGCTGCGCTTATGGAGATAGCCATGCTGCTCACAGCAGCAACCCTTTGCTAACCAAATGTATTCTTGTGCTGGCTCTAGCTCTACCTGCTACAGTTTTTCTGACTTTTATGTTAACACAGTTTTTCTCTCTGGGATATGGGAGCAAATCAACTATAAATAATCTGTTTAGGAAAAGTATTCTTCCTGTATGGAAGTGTGACTTGACTTTCTATGATATGGTCCAAACTTCATGCTGTGTATCTGACTGCCATCAGTATACTTTTGAAAACAATTATTCAGAAGGTAGAAATTTTTTTTGTATTTTTTTTTGGAGACAGAGTCTCGCTCTGGTGCCTGAGCTAGAGTGCGGTGGCATCAGCCTCACTCACAACAACCTCAAACTCCTGGGCTCAAGCGATCCTCTTGCCTCAGCCTCCCGAGAAGCTGGGACTACAGGCATGCGCCACCATGCCCGGCTAATATTTTATATATATTTTTTTAGTTGTCCAGCTAATTTCTTTCTATGGAAGGTAGAAGTTCATTCGTAACACATGACTTATGGGCTGCCTTAGATGTAAAATACCTTTTAATCTACCCTAGCTCTCATATTCTTTCTTAGAAATATATATACATAGGCACCTTTAATCAGAAAGAAAATAAAAGTTAAGGTAGCTTGGGCCCATATTAGAAATAGCATTTCTTGCTCAGCATTCAGTCCTAATGCATTGTTTTTAAAGCAGAAATCATCTTATACTTGATAGTTTGAAGTTCTAAATCACTAAAGTTCTAAATCCAACTAAAGAACTTCTTATGAAAATGACAGTTGTTCTTTTATTTAAATTTCTTTAATTTTCATTAATATTATACACCTGATATTTTTTTCCCTGAAGGCTTTTCCTTAGTTTCCTATAAATGCCATTGTCTGAAATGGAATCTGACACATATAAAAAATTTATGTTAAATTTCCTAAATGCTATTATATTGCATCTGAAAACCATGAACAACAATTGGACCAGGGTCTTAGAAAAGTTGTAATTTGTTTAACTGGTCTAAACAGGAGGCAAGTACAAAACTATTAAAAGACATGCTTCAAAGAGTAAGACATTTAAAGGTCTAGCTACACACTTTTAATTACTTAGATAATTTTAAGCCTGCGCTCCTATGCATACTAAGATCAGTTCTCCAAATTAAAAATTTTATACTTATTAATAAACACGTGGTTAAAATAGACACTTATCCAATGGCAATAGAGACTTCACTATTTCACTAGAAATAGCTTTTGAAGTTCCTTCCAGCCCGTAAATAAATTTTATTTCATGGCCGGGAGAAGTTAAAATTAAGATTTTTTTGCCAAGAATGGAGTATAATCTCAGATGGGGACTGCTGACTCTGTTTCCTGTTCAAAAGCTGTATGAACCTCAGTGAGTTCTTACAAATAAATCTCTGTGCCCACGTGTACCGTCACCACCCGCTGTGAGTCCAGAAAAGATCTCTGAGAGTATCTTTCAGTGAGAAAGTCACAAACTGATTTTTACGTTGCCTTTGAGCCAAACCAGCTGTTTCTTCTTTAGCCATTTCCCTTTGAGATTTCCGTCTTATGACTAAGCCTAACCGGTATTTTTTGGCATGTAAGAGTTGTGGGCGTCAGTCTATCATTATGAGGAACTGGAAGCCAGAAGTGCCTTCTGCCATGGTGGGTGATTTTAAACATTTTAAGAAACTTTATGTTACAAAATTTTCAAACATCCCTAAAAGGAAGGAAAGAATCCCATGAGCCTATCACATGGCTTCAATGTTTATCAACATTGTATCAAGACTGTCTTATGTGCTTCTCTCACACTTCTATCCCACACCCCATTAGCATTTTAAAAGGTGAAAGATTTATTCTGAAGAGAAAACAGAGCATCTCACTAGTATTTCAAAGCAAAACACAGATAGTATATCATCTCACCCATAAACACTTTAGTATGTCTATCAGATAAACACTTTTTTACAGAACCTACTCATAATGTCATTATCATTCATCTCAAAATTGGCAGTGATTCTTTAATATCATTTAATATTCACACCATGTCTGTTCAAATTCCCTGATCAGATCCTATTTCAGAAAAATACACCAAGATAAAAAGATGTTGAGAAAAGTAAGTCCTTGCTCTCGATTGATACTTTGAGTGGAATTGTTCCAGTTTAGAAGATAAATTATATGATTTACAGATCTCTTTATTTATAATAGTTTCCCCTCCTCTCTTTTTTTAATTAATTTATTTGTTAAAGAGAGTGTGATTTCTCTCTGTAAAAGCTCCCACATTCTAGATTTGGCTGATTTCATCTTTGTTTTGGTTGTTATTCCTCCACCCCCAGTATCTTCTGTAGATGGATAGAGTGATATTTACATAATATGTGTATATATGCACATATGTATGCATTGGTAAAAATGCTTCAAAGTGGTGCTGAATGAAGTCTCCCGCTTATTTTTCTTTTTTCAGCACATTACGGGGGTAAAAATGTTTAGGTTACATACATTGCCTTTGCCCCACCCCCGAGTCAGAGCTTCAAGCTTCAAGTCCATCCCCCAGATGGTGCACACCGCACCCATTAGGTGTCAATATACCAATCGCCTCCTCCCCCTCCTACCTGCCTGACACCTGATGAATGTTATTCCTATATGTGCACTTAAATGTTAAGTCAGTTAATACCAGTTTGCTGGTGAGTACATGTGGTGCTTGTTTTTCCATTCTTGCGATACTTCACTTAGCAGAATGGGCTCCAGCTCTATCCAGGATAACACAAGAGGTGCTAGATCACCGTTGTTTTTTGTGGTTGCGTAGAACACTGTGGTATACATATAGCACATTTTATTAATCCACTCGCATATTGATGGGTACTTGGGTTGTTTCCACATCTTTGCAATTGTGAATTGTGCTGCTATAAACATTCTAGCGCAGATGTCTTTTTTATAGAATGTCCTTTGTTCCTTTAGGTAGATTCCCTAGTTCTTTATATCCATTAGGAGACACATAATGTGAGCTTGGTTCCAATTTTAGTGATGTGAAGAATGTTAAGTGTGTTCAGGACTCATCAGCTTGATCCGTCATAAAGTTCCCCACTGGACTTCGTCCTGATAGCTTTGCATCAAGTGATGGTCATTGCCTGTTTCTATTATTTTGTTAGTGTGCAAATTGATAGTTTTTTTTTCTTTTTTAATGTTGTATAAATTTAATTTTTTTGCTAGTTTTTCTATACTGCCTACATTTGAATAATTGACTTAATTTTTACTTTAAAGATATTTTACAATTAGAAGTCGAAATGGTAAATCATAGGTTAAGAATTTTTTAAAAGGTATTATATGGACAATCATTTTTATTATATTTGCTTTATTGATCTATTATTTAACCATGAGTCAAATTCCAAGTCATATTAAAATGACCATGATGTGCTAATTTTAACAATATTTGAAAGACCACTATATAAATAAAAATGTATTTTAGAAATAGCCACGTTACATGGAAAATAAACTTGACATTACTCTACCATGTTTCTACTAATTGAGATATAATTCACATACTATAAAATTCACCCTTTTAGAGTACCCAGTTCAACGGTTTTAGTATATTCACAAAGTTGTGCAACCATCACCTCTACCTGGTTCCAGAGCATTTTGATCAATACCAAAGGAAAACCCAGTATTAAGCAGCCATTCCCAGTCTCCCCTCCTCTGAATGGCAACCGCTAATTGACTTTTGGTCGCTGTAGATTTACCTATTCTGGGCATTTCATATTAATGAAGTCATAAAATATTTGGTCTTTCTGTGTGGCTTCTTTCATGTACCTTAATGACCTTAATGTTTTCAAAGCTCATCCATGTTGTAACACAAATCAGTACTTTCCCCCCCTTTTTAAGGCTGAATAATATTTCATTGTATATATATACCACATTTTCTTTATCCATTTGTCAGTTAATTGACATTTGGGTTGTTTCCACTTTTTAGCTATTATTAATATAAATGCTGCTATGAATATCTATGTACATAGTTTTGTGTAGACACATGTTTTTAGTTCTCTTGGGTATACACCTAGAAGTCATATTGTTGGTAATATGGTAACTGTATATGTAACTTTTTGAAGATTTG